TTCAAGCACTACAAAACCTTTTTGTATTAGAATGCATAAAATGCATTTGCTCGCCGCTAGATGGCATTTACCACATCGATTAAATTTCAGACAAAATAAAAAACGGCTTTGATCTTTAATATCTAGCTTAATATTGCACTTAGAATATTTTACTTACTTACTTTATAAAAACCAAATTGTTCATTGTTTTATCTGCTACAATTTTGTTTTTATAAAATTTTCGATAAAACTTATATTTTTGGAGATATTTGCCAAAAACCGATGAAAAACGGGAAAAAATTTCGAATTTTCAATTGCCAATAACTTGAAAAGTATTGGATTTTTTGAAAAACTTTATAGATGATTTTTTGCTTAAAATTAGGCTTTCTATCGATATCCGAGGTTATTTTGAAAAAAAAAAAATTCACCCCCGAGAAGGGGTGGCAACCACCCCGAGGGTGGTTGCGGAGTTCAAATCATTTTCACTTTTCAAGTTAAGGGTAAAATGAACCTAATTCCAAAATTGTATGCAATTCGGTTCACAGTAAAAAAATTCGGAGCAATAATGCTTCAATGACTGCACTATGAGTTTGATAGTTTTTGACACTGGAAAGCTAAATGCCAGAGAAACCTTTTATTGAGTGATTCAATTCTCTTTTTGTGTATATCGTAGAACGGTGTCCAAACAGGGCTACAATATTCAACTATCGATCTAACTAGGCAATTGTATAGGCAAATTTTGGTGTGAGCAGATTTTAATTCTTTACTATTGCGTAGGTAGCACAAATCCTAGGAATTTGAAGCATCGGGTAACAATATTATCAATGTGTAATATTGAACCTTAATTTGTTGTCAATAATAACACCCAAATGACGAGCTGTATCAACCTCCCTCAGGTTTTGGCCATTTAATGTATAGGATGAGAAATGTGGTAATTTCTTTATATTAAAATGCATGAAGAAACATTTGTCAGGATTCAACTTCAATAGATTATTATCACACCATACCTACAGCAAACCGATTGATATCTTCTTGCAACAAGTGCACGTCCACTACGTTGGATACATGCTTTACAATTTTAATATCATCTGCATATAAGTAACATTGAGAGTGATGGAAGCAAGAGATGACATCGTTAATAAACAAATTAAAAAATAATGGTCCTAAATTTGAGCCTTGTGGGACCCCCGATGACGTCACATACACTGTAGACTCATATCCATTGCTTCCATTAATCACGGAGTAAATACAAAGTGAGGCATAGGTGTTTGGCGTAAGAAATCAAGAGAAGACACAGAATTATTGAGTGACGTCAGTGCAACTTTGTTATAGAACCTGTGCTACATTGAATCCAGTCGTGTTATTCTTTAAGAACAAATATAAATAAAACCATTCATCGCGGAATTCGCTGGTGCGCTTTTTACACCCATAATAATAGCAAACGCAGTATTGTTTTGGCACAAAACACTGCGTAACTGACCTAAGCTTATTCATTATTTTTTTAATATAATCGGGATAGCGAATTAATAGACTTCAGTGTCTTGAGCTTATTTGTTTCCTTTTAAACAAACTTTTTGATCAGACGGAGTTTGGGACTATGCAATCCTAATGGCACTGTAGTCAGTGCATCTTAAAATATCGATTTTGTGACTCGCCGACATCTTAAAATACTTATCTGTTTAAGCCAGACAGCTTCCAAGGAGCTCCAAGTTTCTGGAAGTTTCATTTCCTCTAGTCGTATTATATGTCGGTCCAGATGAATAGTAATTAGGTACCACTTTGGGGATTACAATAAAATATGCTACTACTTATAAAATAAACTATGTTTTAAAAACTAAGAAGTTAAAATAATATAAGTTATGGCGAAAACAATTATTTGATCTGTCTAAAAACCTAAAATTCCTATAATACAGAATCTTAATAATGTAGGTTTTTATCTCCTGGACTATGGAGAAATCCGAATTGTAACACCCATGAACAAACGTTCGTGAGTAGGTATATCGTAAACGTTATTTTTTTTCGCGACACGATAATAATCAATCGCCAAATAACCAGAAGTAATTCCCCATCAAACAATAACACTATATTAAGGCATTTCAGTGTAATATATTTTGTGTGTATTGAGTTTGAGAGGCCACTTAAGATTTTTTGGGAAACCCCTTGCCATAGAGAATATAATTTTTCCCTACTCGTGCATTAGTTTAGTGTTACCAGATCACCTCCAGTGTTCAGAATGCTAAATAATACTATAAAAAATCGTTAGAAGTATACAACATAAAAATCGGGACACATTGTCGCAAAATCGGGAGGGAAAAGCAGAAATCAGATCTCCAGATTAATCGGAAATTCATACTAGCGCAAAGCGTCATGTCATTCAGAAACGTAATAGAAGAAGAAAAATTCACACATCTCTGCAACGTAATACGGATTGGTCGTTGGTAATTGGGGCGGTGACCGTCGACGAACAAGTTGAGAACTTTAATAATATAATTACCGAGCTTTATAACAAGCATGCTCCTTTTCGTCCCATCAAGCTCAAAGACGTTCCAGCGCCGTGGCTTACTCAAGAGATAAGGGCCCTAATGCATAAAAAAGACGATGCTAAAAGCAAATATAAACATCGCCCGACCGATTATAATAAAGTCAACTATGTAAAAGCTCGAAATCGCTGCAATTTGGTGTGTAGGGATGCCTTGCGTCGCCATATTCATGATTCTGTCGATAATAAAGATCCAGCAAAAGTCTGGAATTTTCTCAAATCACTTGGAATTGGTAAGTCCCGACACGATTCTACTCCTAGTAGCATCAGCGTAGATTCTCTCAACATTAAATTCTCTTCCTCTTCTAGTCTCAGTGACTCTCAGAAGTCTTGCACTTTAAACTACCTTTCTTCGTTACCAATTCCTGACTACTCTCCTTTTGTCTTTACTCAATTCACTGAATGTGACGTTAAGAATAGCATGCTTTCTATCTCTTCCAATGCGGTGGGGAATGACGGCATCAGTCGAAACATGTTGATACCTATCCTGGATATTATTCTTCCTATCCTTACCTTCCTTTTTAACAGCTCGATTTCCGACGGAGTCTTCTCGTCAGTTTGGAAGCAAGCCCAAATTATCCTCTTCCTAAAAGATCGAACCCTCAAACCATGGTCGATTTTCGTCCCATTTCTATCCTTCCCTTTCTATCTAAGGTTCTTGAACGCCTTATCCATAACCAATTGAATACATTCCTCTCTCGCCACGATCTTTTTAATCCTTTCCGATCCTGTTTCCGTCCTGAGCATAGTACAACGACTGCGTTACTTAAAGTAACCGATGATATATGCTTTGGGATAGATAACGGTCTCCTTACGGTATTAACATTGTTAGACTTTAGCAATGCTTTTAACACTGTCGACTTTGAGGTTCTTTTAGCATTGCTGCGCTCACTTAACGTATCTCCATCAGTGATTGAGTGGTTTCGCAGTTATCTGCATGGGCGTAAGCAGCGCGTTCGCCTCGAGGAGAAATTTTCTTCATGGAGCGAAACGACTGCTGGCGTTCCCCAAGGCGGCGTCTTATTTCCTCTTCTTTTCGCTGTATTAATTAACTCCGTTTCAAACAATAGTTCTTCTTCCTACCACCTACATGCAGATGACTTACAAATCTATTGCCAAGCTCCTCTTGGTCAACTTGATGAAGCAGTGCGGTGTACAAACAGTGATCTACATGTGATTTCTAAGTGGAGCAAATCTTTTTGGTTGGAAATAAATCCCTCCAAGACAACTAGCATAGTAATTGGTAGTTCTAGAATGTTAGATAGAGTGGACTGGCAGTCACTACCCAACATCGAAATTGCTGGAAATGTTATCCCTTTTAGTACGTCAGTAAAAAACTTAGGATTAACGTTTGACAACTGTATGAGCTGGGGCCCGCAAATGCAAGTGGTCAGTTTCAAATTGTATGCTTCAGCAGCGTCAGTTAGGTGACTACGTAATTTTCTAATCGTCACCACCAAAATTGCCTTAGCACAATCTTTATTGCTTCCTATACTTGATTATGCTGACGTCTGCAATCTCGATCTTACGGAGGACCAGCTTAATAAAGTTGAGCGACTTCAAAATTTTTGTATCCGCTTCATATTTGGCTTGCGCAAATATGATCATGTTTCTCAATTTCGTTCACAGCTCAAGTGGCTACCTATTCGCCTTCGCCGGAATACTCATATCCTTTCTCTTCTTTACAACATATTGTTCAATCCCAAGTCCCCGCGCTATCTTAAGGAAAGTTTTAATTTCCTTCATAATTCTAATACGTTATCTTTAAGGTCATCAGAAAATCTTGCTCTTATGACTCCCGTACACGGCACAACTTTTTTCCACCGTTCGTTTGCAGTGCAAGCCGTACATCTATGGAATTCTCTTCCGGTTTCGATAAGACGTGCGGAAACTATTAATGCGTTTAAAAAAATTGTGAAGCCCCACTATCTGACATTGTAATACTTTTATTTTTAATATCTCATGTTCTAAAAACTGGACTGGATCAATGTATGTATTTATACTTATTGTATCTATGTATGTATTTATATATATCTTATATATGTATATGATATGTATTTACTAATAGATTATATTATACTAGCGATTTACACCGCCGTCTCTCCCACTTCCTTCTAATCCTCTCCATCCAAAGGTTGCCTGGAAGAGATCGCTTTAAGCGATAAGGCCGCCTATTGCATCACCTGTACTAAATGTTTTTGTGCTGAATGTTCAATGTTTTACGTGGTGTTTAATAAAGAGTTTTTGTATTGTATTGTATTGTAATGCACCCATTACTTCCGAGCTAAATAATCAGTGTTAGTCTCGCGAATGCGCAATTCTTATTTTTATCTCAGTTGCTTAACTTTATATTGCGGGGATAAGGGTGAATTTGCTTTGTACCCACCATTAGGGGGGTTGGCTCAAATTTAAATTTGATCTATTCAAAAGGTCCCCCATGTATGTGTCATCACTGGATAAAATTAAATGAAAAAGATATATTTTGTAGAATACTTTTAATTTGCTTGCACACAGCCTCTATTGAGAACAATGTTATGAATGTGAGAAAGCCAGGACAATACAAAATTAAAGCACTTCACAGCGACATTGAACAAATAAAAAATATGGCCCGTGAATTATAATGCCGCATACAATGTTTCCTTCATTAATCAAAATGATTCCAATTGCAATTGTTTTCACATTACTAAAAATAATAGTTATTCTCAAAATTTACTCTTAATAAAAGCAAAATATATAAACAAGAGTTTACTTTTTACTGGATCAGAGTCTCGTAAGTATATCTTAATAATTACCATTAAAACAAACAGTTGCTGTATTAAAGTACAAAGATCAATGACATTTGGAAAGGTACCGGTAGACAGTGTTTAGTCAGTTGTGTGCATCTCCTGTACTTAAATTATCACGAGGACGAGGCACGCAAGAGGTACTGAACGAAACACGGCCGCTCCACACACCGCGTCAATAGTCACTTGTGTGACCATAACCTATACAAGAATCTAGAATTACGTAACTTATAATAATTGCAATATATCATACATCTAAATTCAAGTAACTTATTTTTTATCGAGTTTCAGGTTTTATTATTTTTCTTTTTTTTTATAATTTTTTTATTTATTTTATATACCATAATCTCTGTTTGTCGTTTACCACAGCGCGTTGTTGCCGGTGAAATCTGCCTTCCACGAATGATTTTGTCCATCATAGGATATTTATAATAATTTATAAGACGAAGCCACCAACGATGCGGTGCATCGTCGCGTTCCACGTGAACTATTCAACGTTTTCAGGTTTGCGGTTGTTGTAATGGTGAGAGCGCGGGGGCCGCGGGGCACCGCGCGAGCCGCCGCGGGGCGCGCCCCGGCCGCGGCCCTTGAACCCGCCCTGGTAGCTCTGCGCCGAGTCGCCGTACCGCTCGCCGCCGCCCCCGCGACCGTTCTCGTGCTCGCGGTGCTCAGCCGCGTCGCCGTTGCCGTAGTAGCCGTCGTCGGCGGCGCGGTTCTGATAGCCGTCCTTGTGTCTGCTTTGGTAGCCGTCGTACTGGCGGCCCTGATATGACTCCTTGTTAGGCCTGCTCTGGTAGTCCTGGTGGCGCGGTCGGTAGCTGTCGCCGCCCTGCCTGCCGGAGAAGTTGCCGCGCCCGCGATGTCCGTTGGGAGCTCCCCGACCGGGCCGTGGGGGCCCGCGCCCGTACCGCCTGAATCTGTGCTGCCCGTCACCTTGACCATCGCTCTTGCGCTCCCCGCCCTCCTCGTGCTCAGGGCTGAGACTGTCTTTCCATTCGTCGTCATTTTTGTCTTCGACTGGTGGTGGGGGGCTTCGTTCTTCTGATTGGTTTGAGCCGGTCGACAGCGAAGCTTCTACTGGAGTAGCAGCTAGGACAGGGACCGGGGCTTGAGCGTGAACGGGCGCCGAGGACACTGGCGCTAACGGCTGAACGGCTTGGGGAGGCGGCATGGGATGTCCGGTCGGTATCGGGGCGACGTGTGCAGGGTGAGGTAGGGGCGCACCCATCGGTACGCCCGCGCCAGGAGGGAAACCAGCGTGCTCAGGATGCGGCGGGAAATGAGGCTGAGGCGGCAACGGAAGGCCTCCTTCGGGCACGCGGCCACCTGGCAACTGTACGAAGTGTTGGTTTGTGAAGGTCTGTGTCGGAATCGGCCCTGGCGGGGATGGTTGATTGGGAATCGGCGGAGGTTGGGGTGTACCCACCGGGCTGTCGATCTCAGACTCTTGCAGGAAGAAGAAGTTTTGTGATCCAATCACTTCGGTGATAGGTCTCTGTTGAGGATACTGCGAGAAGTAGGCGTGTTCGACTTCCTGTAATGTCATGGGTGGGAGAGGGCGTAGGGGATACGCGGGCGCGGGCACTACGGCGGGCGCGGGAGGGACTGGCAGGGCTCCAGCGGGAGGGTAAGCATTCACTTGCTCCACCTCTATATCTTCTTCAATGGGCTCCTGGAGCTCTTCCTCTTGTACAATGACTGAGGTTTCCTCTACCTCAATTGTTGCCTCCAATACACGGTCAAAGTATCCACATTCATGCACTGAATTCACAATTTCCTTTATGTGACTGTAAGTGGTTCCAAGGACATCTTTGGGCTTTCCATCAATGATCTGGTACAGATGTTCAGCAGCTTTAGTGGTTTGAATGTGAAAAGCTGATTGGCCCTCTTCATTAAGTTCATGCTTGGGAGTTACTTCTGGGTATCTAAGAATAAAATTATTATAAAACATAAATAATGTTACTTTTACTACTGGGTTTAAAATATTTTCAAAGAGAAAATGATACTTTACAAAAATTCAACTCAGTCAAGATTTCAGGTAGGACAAGAACGTAAGTGTTCAGAATTAATTTATAAACTTTATTATAATAGTTGTATTTTTATATTCAGTATAATAATTATATTTTCTCATGATGAATATATCATACTTATAATTATTATTCGCTACATTATGTATTAAAAAATGGAAAATATTCTAATGTAATTGTTCATCCACAAAATATTATTAATACCAATACTACTAATAAGGATCAATTAACATTTTTTTGATAATAATTTAAATATAAGCTATTAAAAACTAAACTTTGTTAGTGGTTAACTTACAAATCATCCAAAATTTTTAGATCTTCTTCTGAAAGTTTTGTTGCACCATTAGTACCATTAAGAAAGTCATCTCTGGCCTCCGAGTTTCCCATTTGTGTTAGGCAATCAAGTATCAACAGAACTTCCCGAATTTTATTGGTATCTGCTGCATAACGAACCCAGGCCTCCTGTAATCATATATATAAAATTCAATTCAACAAACTTATTCAGTTAGGTACAATATATTCTCCAGTTCTGTAAGTTGGTACCTTACAATGTCCTGATAATCTATTTCAATTCAATAACTCAACATTACACTACATAAATAAGTTGCTAAGTACACTTTGCACAAAACAAAAGATAAAATAATCTGCAGCTAATTGACATTAATTTAGTGGTAAAGCTACCCAAAATGTTTTGGCAGTCTGAAAAAATCTAAGCAAAATTAAAGCTTAGCTTTAAGATTCTTAAGTATAAATCTATAATTGAAATTGAACTATGCATCCAGCCTTATCCTGTAATGATGAATGTACACCAGAAGACAAACCAACATATAGAAGTGGGGAGCATTTGATTTTCACTTCACTTTTAATTATGTTATTAATTGCAGATTCTAATAGTGAATATTTTTTTTAGATTGTACCTTCTTTGCTTGCTTTTTGGCATCTCGTTCAGCTGCTGTAACAATTGATGATAACTGCTTTGACAGATCCCTTGCAAACTCCAATGTTTGAGCAACTTCATCATACTTTGAAACTGCATATTTTTGATCAGAGTTCAACTCTTTTCCGGCTTTTTGTAAATCTCTGTATGATGTCAGCTTACTCTAAACAAATAAAATGATAACAACAAAAGTTAAAAATAGACACATTCTTTGCTTGATTTGCTTTGGAATTAATTATATTTATTTTTTCTCCATGATAATTCTTAATTTTAATTAAGAATTAAAAGGTTTAACATACATCTTTAATTTTTTTAACTAAACAGTTTTGTGAATAATTGTTTTCATCGTGGATTTTTAACAGTGACTCACAACAGCGATATTTTTTTGTAAACTTTATACAAATGAAATTTTAAAATTAAATTTAACTTAGAAATAAATTAATTAGATGGGTATAGGCTTCGACAGACGTCAGATTAAGTAACCCAGGAGGCCACCCAAATGCACAAAAAACATCAAAATCTATCAAGCCGGAAAAAGCTCAGTCACATACGCGGACAGAAAATATATAATAAGAAAGTTTAAGTATGTAGATGCTAGATTATGATTTTGTATCAAAATTAATTTATGCTCATGTTAAATATAAAGATGAACAACAAAATGTATCTCGTGATTAATTTTAGTATACTTTTTACAATGAAGAAATAATTTGAAGATAAGATGTCTCCAAGAATTCGAAAAAAGAGCTTGTGAATTAAAGGTATTTTTTGGGCGTCATTGTATTGTCTCGTCAACATTGCTGAGCACATGTGTGAAAATGGCGTCAACGGTTAGTAGAAACATTATTTACATACAAAGTATACGAAGTATGAGTTGCGGAAATATCTAATGTATCTTGAATAAAGGATCGCAGCTTAATATACATAAAATAAATCTGCTAAAACATATTGGACCAAATAATCCTGCGTGTTCAGAACGTTACAAGCTAGTGGAATTAGGTGCAACTTACCTTTCTTTTCTCCAAATTCCTGATTTTGTGTTCAATTAGCGTCATAATTTGTCGTATTGGTGAGTTATCCATTGCCTCCGAAGAGGCTGGTTTTTCAGATTTTGCATTCGCAGCTGAAGGCATCCTTCACAGGCAACAACTTTTCCAGGATTAGGTATTTTATTTTATTCTGTATGGTGGTAGTACCAGTTGAGTTGAACATAGAGAGAGATAAAAATTCTTTTTTCTTGTTCCTTTTTCACCACAGAGAACTGTCAATCCACAGATAAAGGCAGAATCATATTTACGTGTCGTGATAACGACGACTTTTACAGTTTGTCTATTATAGGAAAGAATGGGCTAGCTATCTAGCCATTGGTGTCAATTCTGGCATGATTCTCTAAACTTAAAGCTAATTTTAACATCAGTCTCTCCTTTTCATTCTGTATAGATACTGACAAGGATACACTATTGTCAAATTTAAGTTTAGGTTTAGAGAATCATGCCAGAATCGACACCATTGATTACGTCAACTGCCATATGAATTATTTATACTGTTGTCTGTGTAAGTTCGTCGTTCGGCGTTTTTTGTATGAAAAAAAATATGCCGTGTATTCAGACTATCTTAAGTGCTTTTGAGTGGTTTTAAAGGAAAAAACACCATGCCTGGTTAAGTTAAATACATTTATTTACTCTATTTTGATGTTTCGTTTGCGGGTCTCCGTGAATTATTTTTTTATAGAATTTTTTGCAGACGCCGTCGTAAAAAAATCAGCGAAAAAAAGGGGTACATTATGTTGTACCTTATGTTTTCATTCGATAATTTCGATAATAATTGAAATGTTTAATTATTGAATAAATTATTCATGATTAATACTTCGAATACAAAGAATCTCTTGTGTTCGAATTTTTGAAGAAATAAAAAAAACAAAATCCGCGTGGTGGCACGGTCGTTCTAAATTCAAATACACGTACGAATTATTTTTTTATATTATTTTCTTATATGGGAACTAGTGATTAGTTTTTGTTTATTCTAAAGCAAATTTCGTGAACATTTTTATAAAAAAAACTGTTTATCAAAATTGTAAATACTTTTCGTTTTATAGACATAATAACATATAAAACTGAGATGACTGATTTGTAGGCGATTTTTATATGCCTCGTTGTAAGTTCTTGAAACTATAAAATGGACAAACGTTATTCATTACAATCTTGGTTGTAATGTTATCTAAACAATCCGAGCTAATCGTATAACATAAATCACAACCATTCAGACGCCCGTTTAATCTTTATCGCCTACTCGAAACCCTTGTTTTTTCTAACGCGTGTTTGTTTACGCATCTGGCGCGTGGATTGTGAGCGCTATAGTGTAAAATTAAATTGTGGGAGTATGGTATTTTATGATTTTATTTGATAAGTTATAATAGAATGTACAAATAACCAAAAAATCTGGACATAAAATTTGAAAATTTTGAAAATATACTCCATTTTACCCATCTAAACGCCTTTTTTTTATCTTTCCCGAGTTTACCGTAACGTAATTAAAATAGATTATAGACATGACGCATTGTTTACACATTGTTTTATAGTAAATTTTATGGAGAATCCAAATATATATAGTTTGTGTAGGGTATTCTTACAAAATAACAGAGAAATCGGCAAAACAATGCAGTCATTCCCACCCCGCGGGGGGCCTCTGAAGGTGGCGACCGCAGGTCAGATGAAGGGCGCATGCGCATTGCCGCGCGAGAGGCTATAAAGTTGTGACATGAATGTTTGAGGAACTAACATTATTCATGTGTCTGGCTACACCAAACTTATGTACATCAGCTGTCATCGAGTTTCAGTTGTGGAACAGTTTTCCTTTTGTATTTTTTATTGTGTGGATTAAACTGTAATAAATTAAGACGAAACTACGCAGAAAGGTATAAAAATCAGTAAAGTAAATCTGCGTGGCACGCGGGAAGTGATTTTTAAAGTTTTCCAGCGATCTTTCCAAGACAACCAAGCTGGACGAATTTTGTGGGATTTGGATGATGTTTACGGGCGAACAGCATCTATGACGGGTATGTAATAGTGTAACTATTTGTTGTAATCTGCCTGAAGTTACAAATTTACTCAATTTACGATTTTGAGACCAAAAAAGGCATTGTTTACATGGCACATTTTTAGGTTAGATTGACATTGTAAATAGGTAATATTGTAGTACGACCATTTCTTTTGATACATTATTATGGTTCAACTCGGTTAGGTTTTCTACCAATTTTGAATTAATTGCTTCATGTCCATAAGTTATTGTTTCTATTCCGTTACATATTTTTTTACTTTCAGGAAAATCAGAGAGTCGGAAAAATCAAAGAACCATGGCCAGATGCTTTTAGTGAAGATACCTATCACTAATTTTACTAACTGCAGATTTACAAATTGTTTCTCTAAATAAACTATAAAATGATTTTTAGTATTATTTTCTTAACAAGTGTGTTAAAAAACATCGTATGATGATACTTGTGTGTATTGATGATTACCTAACGGCTCTGGTCTCAATGGCACCTCAGCGGTAATCACCAACATTACACACTTTTACACTATAAAGTACTATTTTATCTATAATAATTTTATTCTGATTCAATTAAATATGCTTGGCTAAACTTTTATAAGTATAGGTGCCTACTATATATAAAACAGAAACAAAATACGACTGTATAGTGTGTCTTATTAATAACCTATTTTACTTGAATGAACTGCTTGTATCTAGGGACACGAAAAAAGTATCGATACTTTGTGGTATCGAGTACTTTTCCTTTCGATACCGATACTTTTGTACTCGATACTTTGTATTCGATACTTTTACTAAATGAGTACTTTTTGGCAAGTATCGATACCTTTAAAAATTTGGATAAGCGCCTCATATTGATGGCAACGCCATCTTGTTAAATCATAGTAAACCTTCTAAAACGTTCCATAGGGTATTTGACAAGTTTTAGGCAACGATCTCACGTTATTGACTAATGTTTATGGAGTCCGTAAAAAGCGGATATTCATCATTCTGTCGTGTATTTCAGTGAAAATAACCAAATCAAAAACTCCATTTTCAAGTTGCCGCGAAAACGTTTCTCTGGACAATATGGCGTCTTACTAGTGTGTGACGTCACACGACTGTTATTAAAACGTCAAACGATACAATGTAATGTCACTTTGACCGGAAGTTTACTTGCGCGTGACGTCATTTTAGGCTCCGCCAATCCCAAGCGTTTTGGGTCACGTGACAATAGATGAGAAAACTAAAATCTTTTTCGGTATTTTGGCACTTTATTTTTAATACTTTCAAATGCCCTATTGCGTTGTTATAAAGTCAGTAACTGACATATTCAAATTCTTTCCAATCTGTGACTGTGTCTGTTTTGCGCTTTGTTAGTTAGGAACTGTGATTGATTCGCCGTTTACTGTGCTTTTCGCTTGACTGTATTTGATTTATTCAAGTGTAACACTATTATTCTGTCTGTGCTGTGTATACCTATTTGAAACCACCTGAAAAAAAGACGGACGTAACCTCTTCTATAATTATAATCTTGAGTGAAGCATGCCAATGGCAGCCGTTAACTACTTGTCAGATTCAAGTTAACATAAGTGGGTATAATGTTTTTTAATGATTAAAATTCAAGAAAAGTAAGTTTAATTTGAAACAAATCTGAAAAGTTTCATAATTTTAAATTGTTTAAGATTTAGATCTTTTTAATTAACATTTTAATTATGAATGTAATATTAATGAACACTTTTTTAGTGTCAGTAATCACAGCTATTTTCTTTTCATTATATAATATAGCAATTTATGAATTTACATGTCCTTTTTTTGTTTTTGATTATACGTACAAAAAAGGTAAAATTCTATTGTTTTTCTTTCAATTTTAACACCGGGGGCTTGGGAGGGGTTGCTCATCAGGCCACAGAGGCTCCGATAAGGTCCTATGAAATGTACTCGATACTTTGAAGTATCGATACTTTTGTTTCGATACTTTGACGAGTACGATACTTTTTTACCGATACTACTCATGAGTACAGTATCGATACTTTCTATTCGATATCGTGTCCCTACTTGTATCAAAATCATTTTGGTCAGACTGTATAGGATTGCTACATGCATACTCGTGGCGCCATCATTTAATGTCACGACTTTATAGACAAACTGTACTTTCAGACTGAGTTAGGGTCCGATTGATAGGGAGGTGTAATAATTGCTACCCTAGCTACAGGCCACGCCCAAACCCTTTCAACAGGACCCCTAAAATTGGGTAGTGTAAATGCCGTTTTTATCAGTTTAAAGCCAGAAACATATTAACGTGTCGTGGCGTATCGTGACGCATCGGTTTCATACATTTATTATGGGTTAGAGAGAGAGAGAGATAGGTTAGATCGTCCACACGACACGACCCGTAAATATGTCTCTAAACAGTAAATGTATGAAACCGTTGTGCTTCTGGCGCGCCACGACACGACACTTAAATAGGCTTATGAGTTCCTTAAAATTGGGTAGTCTAAAGTCAGAAACATATCGGTTTCATACATTTACTATGGGTGCGGCCAGAGTGCACTCAGATTCAGATTCAGATTCAGATTTCGAAAACAAGCGCGAGAAATAAACAGTGTAGTCGAAGGGTACGGCCAGATTGCACTCCTGATTTAGATTCAGATTCAGACTCAGAAAACAAAGCGCGAGAAAAAGCAGGCAACCTGCTTAGACTACACTGTTTATTTCTCGCGCTTGTTTTCAGAATCTGAATCTGACTCTGAATCTGAGTGCACTCTGGCCGCACCCTATGGTAAGAAACATATTTACAGATTTACAGTACGCGGCCATTTATAAGTTGCATCGAGCTTTAGAAAGAGATACTCGGCTAGCTTCGGCTTCGCCGTCTCTGTCACCCTTATCAACCTGACCTTTAGTCGCTGACCTGACTTGTCAGTCGTAGTTCAACGTCAACAAAGAGCAGTCGCGTTCTTCTTAAAATATATATAAAGAGTTGATAAAAGAAATATATATATATGTAAATATAACGTGAAAGAAAGAAAAAAAATTAAGGATGATGATGGCAGTAATTATTTTATGAGAGGCTTTGTATATCTATTAGTTTTTGTATTTTGTTATTTGGTTGGAAATAAAAATTATAGTTTTTCATTAAAATAAATAAATTGACATACATAGTACATATACAGGACCATAGTGACGTCAACAATTTTTGAAATTTAATTTGAAATTACATTTTCAAGTTTAATTTACCATAATAATGAGAAAAAGTAGCTAAAATAATTTTAAAGGCTTTGATCGTGTTTCAATGATTTTTAGCCTATCCGCTTTCGAAGGCCAATAA